TGTTGTCGTAAAGAGACACATTCACACAGGGACTCATTTTGATGGTGTATTTTAGTGCTCAAATGCCAAGACCATGAATGAGAGTGTAGGTTTGAGAATGTGCTTGGAATAATTCCAGTATTTTTTGTGAGAGACTCTAATGAATGCAAATGCATTGCAAAGACATACTAATCCCTCTCATACTCACCTGTAGTTTTCTGCAGTATATATTTATTACCTTACTGGCAACATTTTAAAATCAGTTTTTTATCTATATTCAGCATATTTTCTGGGAGAAATTTAGTTCCTAATTCAGTTTACTCTGATCCTACAGTGTGTGTATAATTTTCTTGATATTTTCTGCATTACAATATTCAATGTTACAACCCTGTCTATATCCAGTAGAGAAAAGGCTTTGAGCTTGCTTCAATTAATTTGAATCTGGATGTTAGGTTACTACTGAACAACAGGGGCTGATGCCCAAACTTCGCAGCATATACTGTATTCAGAAATGGTGTAATGCTTAAATCTAAAGTGTTTTTTGTAGGTTATCTAGCACGTGAGGTAAGGGTTTGATACAATAAGGGTGACTCATTCCTGCCTTTGGCTCTGATGAGGTGTTAAACCTTTCTATGCTCCTGCTTTAGGATAAAATGTAAACTCAGGTCGTCATGATCTAAGTTCCTGTACATTATTAGTAACTGCACTGTTACAGTAATTGTAGAATGTGATGAAACATTGTCATTGTCAATGAATTACACATTAATGATTTAATTTTCATTACTTGTGTTCCCCGTTATCTGGATTGGGTTTTGATAGTGTTGCTCATTGTATGTGGAAAAACTGCTTTCATAATTATTTCTGAATGGCTTTTTTTCTGCTCCAGTTAGGGCAGATTTCTTTCCTTTACAAACTCAATGTGAATTTTAGATCTCTGTTCCTTTGTTTATTTGATTCTAAGTACAAGTTAAAAACATACAAAAGTCATGCTCACAATTGAATGTAGCTGCATAATTAATAAAATGAATTAGAGCATTGGCAGTTTAAACACACTTCTTGATGGTGGAAGAGTCATTCATATAATTTGTATTGTGGAGTCTTGAAATGTTCCTATTCTTGTTAATTACTCACTTTAGAGGCATGATTGAAACCTCTGAAGTTTCAAACCAATGCAGTGTCGCTTGCTTGAGTGTCAGAGGCTATTAAGAAGGACGTGCCTTTGTCCTTCCAAAATCAGTACAAAGTCTAGGGAACTGTACTATAAACAATCGAAGAACGGTCTTGAAGTGCAATAATTGATGAGTCTTACATGTATGTTTTCGTGGTGAAGGTGAACTGCTACAGTGTAGTGTAATGGAAAGGGGACTCCCAGGAATGCATAAACAGATTAGAACAGGAAAGTGAGAGAGGTCATAAATTTGTGAAGGTACAGTACTTGGACCTGTCCTTTTTATCAGCTAGTTGGTAACTTAATTAATCCCCATCAACACTATGCTTAAGTGATCCATTAAGACGTCTTTACCAGAATCTTTTAGCACTCTGTTCCTTCATACTCTTTTTATTCTTGCAGGCTAAAAATAAATCTTGTCATCTTTTCTTATGTGACTTATTTATTACTCCAGGTATTATTCTTAATGCCAAGCTTCAGTGGTGAAATATCCTTTTATACTTTAAATATTCTAGATGCCATTGTATGAGTTTGCTGTACACTGTTCAGCTTGAACAATTTTACTGTTGTTCCAAACATTCTGCTACTGTACTGTATGTATCTTGTCACTCCACACTGCCTGGCTACATTTACTGATGAATCAGCTAGAATACTTACATCAGTCCTTTTTCATAGGTTAACCATTCTACCTATTAGAAATTCCTTCTCACTTTCATGTAACTCTTTGCGGAATGATGTTAAATCTATTTTAGCAGTTTGTCTCCTCTCTTGTTCAAAATATATTTTCATCAATTCGACTATTTAGTTTTAAGCTTTCACTCTCAATTTTCTGTCAGCCAAACTTTACCAGCTTATGAAGTTGGATCGCTTGCAAAGGAAGAGCAATGGTTCTAATGCTTCCAGCCAAATTGTGATTAAAGTTGTGCCTTATTAACAAATCAATTTATTTTTGCATCAAACGTATTCATAACACAGAATCATTTTTCTCAAAGGGATGACTGGCCTCTGCATTCTAAATAGCACATGCAGCATGTCCTCAGAAATGGCTTTCAGGATTTGTCTTCTCTTTCAGAGTCTTGTCCTATTTCCTTCTTTCTTTCCTTCTGGTACACTGCTGCTTGGTTTCAATAAATCGGTTTCATTGAGATTTTAAAGGATGAACAAACATGACAGTTATTCTTATGTGAAGTTTGCAGTGTCACTGTTCTGACTGAGGGCTTTTTATCTTTCTGTTTCCATTCCACAAGGCCCTGTTGAGACATTGTGGGGTTACCTTAGAAACAGGAATACGTACTAATGTGAAACCCAGCATAAACTGTAAGGCATGAAGGAAGAGATAGGAATTGCAGCATTAAATAAGAAGCAATTGGGAAACTGGATGGACAGATATTTCTATGCGTGGGACTTTACAAAACTCACCCATTTACAAGAGCTGGGATTCATAATCCCCATACTTTGAAATCACACTCTGTTGAATCATTTAATTTAAAAGCCTCTGCAATGGAGAAAAATCAAGGCATGTTGCAGGGAGGTCTCATTATAGAGGCCTAGAAGATCTACTGTATATATCCTACACCCAGTTTTCTGGTGCACAATGTCCGAAAAGATCAGGGAGTACAATGAGAGATACCCAGATACCATCTTGACACATTCTGTTTTTGCTTTTTTCTCAATTCTATGAATACATCCCCGCCAGAACTATTGGTATTGTGATGGTAATGCAACCAAGCACATTGTGTTTCTCACAGATGACTTTCGATATCTTACTGACTTTCTGATATCTACAAACAAACAGAATTCTAGAAATTACCTGGTTATTTCAAATCTCCAAACAGGAGTTGAATTGTATGTGAAGAACAGTTGTAGCGTTTTTTTACCATAGTGTGCTGTATTTGCTCTTCAAGCACAAACACTGTAGATGACACTGCAGTCCCTAAGGAATGTAAAACAGTGCAGACAGAGATCATGAACCCACCCATGTTTCTGTTCAAGGGTCATTTTTCATCCCAGTGTCGAATGTTTTGGTCTTTCCTCCTTGTGATGTGTGTAGTGCATGGTCTTTCTGGCCCTCAGAAATGTCAAGTAATTCCTGCAACCCACTTAATTTACACACCATTTAATCCAGCAAGCATTTCACTGTCTTCGCACTGTATTGGACTCCAAGCATTTCAGAACCTCAGGACTCAGCTCACTGTGGTATTATATTTGTTCAAGTGCTGTGGCATCAATCCCTCTGGCTTGTGTGCTTGGACTCTGTGAAATTATGATGATCTCCCTCTGGGTGTTGTAAGAAAAAAAGAAAAATGCAGAAAAAGAAAAGTGGCTTCTGGAACCGTACCAATAATAAAAATATGGATTTATCGCATTGGCCGACAAGCCTGCTCTTAAGGGAAATAAATATAATTCTGTCAAGTGGCTGGCTCCAAGGATGTTTTGTGCTCCTGTGTGGAGAGCTGACTTGGTGTAAATGTCATAGTTGAGGTCCACACACACAACAATAACAGAAATAAGGGGACAGCTCAGCCTTCTTGCAGTTACCCTTGAGAGGAAGTATCAATAAAAGGTTTTTTCTTAGGCTGATTGTTTCTGCTTTCTTGCTCAGCATGATTGTCACATTTTAAAGTTTTGTTTCTGAAACTAGGCACACAGTAGGTCCTTTTTGAATTATTTTCTCTTTTTTTAACCCACTCTCATTGTTGACCCAAGATATCAAATAGAAATCACTGGCTACTAATTCCCTGCACTAGCACACATTTAATATGGATTATTCTTGTTTTCAGCAATGACAATTAATTTGTTTTACCGGGGAGGAAATAAGCCATAAAGACCACAGAATGCTAGAAGTCACACAAACAAAAAGGAATACATCATCCTTCTTAGGATTTTAATGAGTTTAAAACATCCAGAAAGATGACTGCCTTAACGTACTTCCTTAAGAAACCCAATTGCCACTATTGCAGTTTTTCACATGTGCTGCTTTTTTATTTGTGTCTCCTTCGGATTTTCCCTTGCAATATCCTTTCTATTCATCACAGATCAGTACATTTTATAGTTGCATATCTCAACAGTGCAGGCTCAGTCTGGGAATATGCTGTTTCTTGCTATGCAATTTTTCTTGAATTAAAGATTTGAGGACAAATGCCATTGGGGTGGGAGACTGCTTTCCACGTCTGTGATAACTTTAGGTAGTTTTTCTAGAGGGGTGTACTCAAAATTCGAGATCATGTCTTGTTATTTATATTGCATTATTTTTTTTTACATATAGCTTTCATCCTATACCATTTTGGACCAATACACTACAGAGATTGAATTCGCCCATCAGGAAACACATGAACCATTCTTAATTGACCTTCCACCACTTATACAAATACAGTGGAATGTTGTTTTCTTCAGATATGCAACACTATTTTTATTGCATCCATCAAGGAAATGAAAAATGCTGAAAATAAATACCTGTGATAATAGAGGGATTTTTGTAAACTGGAACACAAATAGAATTGAAAAATTATATACTCATTATTTGCTTAGAAGCCTGAGTCCATTTAACTGTATGATTTTGTTCTGACAATATTTCCAGTAATCGCACTCCAGCTGCTTGACTAAAAACTTTCAATCCTCTGCGAAAAATATAAGCATTTTGATCATCAGAATTTTGCTGCTGTGGTTTTGTTGAAGGCTGATCCTGGTTAAATGATGTCTGTTTCATTGTTTATCTTGGTCTGTTTAGAAAGGATATGAAATCATTGAAAGAGTAACTGAGTGATTGTGGTTCCAAAATGAAACAAAGAGCTTAAACATAAAGACACTGACTGCCTCCTCTTCCTACCTCTCCGTTTCTTTCTTGTGTGTTTAGATGGGAAATGCCTCCGAAACAGCTTTGTTCATTTCCACTGTCTCCAAGGAGAATGATGTCCTCATGGGATTGCTTTATTCCGTATTTGGTAAGTTGTTACCTACTGTAGTTTGATTCAGGGAAAGCTCTAGTCTTCAGCTTTTCCTAGATACAAATTGTCCAAATATAGAAGTAGCACTTGGCAGATAGCAAAAATAAACCAATAAATAAGACTAAATAAATCTCTCTTGTGTTACGTGGAGATTTTTCTGTTGGTGGAGACATTTGTTCCGAGGAACTTATAAATGATATAAATGTAGTTACAGTATATACATGTACTGTATTTCTTCTCAATTTTAATACTGAAAAACAAAGCACAAGCTCCCTTTGGCCATGGATGCTGTTGGCTGATCATGAACAAAGGATCATGGTCCTTCTTCTGATAATTAGTGCCATTTTGCATGAAACCTTAAATAATACAAAATGTATGCATATAACAGGTTTGGATTGCCATTCTCTGGTTTTAAATTCGGAGAACATCAGAATGTAACCAAGATACAGTTGTGGTGACCCATGGGTCCTGCATTTAAAAATTGCTTGTTTCTAATTGTTCGATTGTTCTGCTTCTCTCCTCAGGTGTTCTCTCTCTATTGGGAAACTGTATCTTGCTGTTTGTTGCCTATCGCAAAAAATCTTCCCTGAAGCCAGCTGAGTTCTTCATCATCAACCTATCCATAAGTGACCTAGGAATGACAGTGACACTCTTCCCTCTGGCAATACCATCCGCTTTTGCACACAAGTAGGGCCCCAAAGTACCTCTCATTTTACAGAGCATTTGCTGGAAAAAGAAATGTGGGTATTGGATGGAATGCCTTCATTAATTCATGTGAAACATACTTGAGTATTTTAGTGATAATAATTTGTGCAAATTTATAATTCATATAATTCATTACAGGATTTCATTGTCTTTGTCTGCCCAGAAGAAAATATGTATACTTTCTTAAACGCTTTGCAAACCAGTTCTACAATCAGACTCCTTGCTGTTCTTTCTTAATTAAGCCTTGGAGATTAGAAGTCATTGACTAAAAAGCTATTATAGATTTGCATCTAATCACTTGAGCTGCAGGGAAGAATATTGTAGCCTGGTAAAGGCAAGAGACAATCTTGCAGGTCTTACAACTGGGGGGAAAAGATTTAACCCATTACACGATCTAAATGGATTTGTGATTACTGCAGGGTGCTCACTGTAACTCACACTGTTCTCTTCTGTCTGTGCAGGTGGCTGTTTGACGAGATCACCTGCCTGTATTATGCTTTCTGTGGGGTTCTGTTTGGGCTATGCAGCCTCACCAACCTCACAGTTCTCTCCTCAGTCTGCTGTCTAAAAGTTTGCTACCCCACCTATGGTAGGTTTCTGAAAAAACAAATCAAAAACTGGTGAGATAGCATAAACCTTCTTTATTTCTACAGGTTCTTAAAATATCCACCACATACTCTGAAAATGGAGGTATTTGTTCCATTTGTGAATGAAAAACATGGTTCACAATGATACTTCAGCACCTTGCCCACCGTTATTAAATTGCAGACTGTAAAATACTAAATGGTACTGTCTCTGTGACAGACTGGCTTCCATTGAGGCACAGTCCTGCTTTCCACCAGATTGTCACGGCCTGTGACAAATGAGCAATGAACTCATTTCTGAATATGGATACATGGAAACTACCATATGTATGTTCAACTAGAATGAAGAAATACTTAGGTGAAAGATATAGTTAGAATGAACCAAAATATCTTTGGTTTAGACCAAAGGTAAGACCTTTTGGCTTTAAAAGAGCACAGGCAAGGCTTCTGTTTGTTTTGAAAAAGATTGGATACCTGCAAAGATGATAGTTGGGGTAAATCTGAAAAGCCCTATTTTATACAGTACCTTAATAAATCAAAGAAAGAAATGTTTCACATTATGTTTTCAGATCTGTATTGAATTTGTAAAAGCGCATACCTTTTTACATTAAATGTCCATATGATGCTGTTTTAGTAACTGAACAGGATGAAGCACTGAAGTCTTGAAAGGGACACATAACTATGGTATTGTGAACAAGCTAACCTTCATCATCCAGGTTTTATTCACTACTCACCTCCAGAAGCACAATAGAAAAGTGTTAGAAGATTTTAGTTGCTAGATTAGGGCTAAAATGAACTTAAATTCTTCTATTTTTTCAGAGATATTTAAGGACATAAAATCAATATTCCAAGAACAAAATGCTGTAATGAGCTTGAACATTTATGTGAAGGTGAGCAACAAATTAGGCTAGATCCTGTATCAGGCACCCTTTGATTTAAACACAATAAAAAAATACATATAAAACTTAAATCATAATGCCCTTTCATAATTTTCTAAGTCATTAAAAGACATATATTTATTTTTAAACTACAACTATAACCAATTACCAATTACAGCACAAGTGATTGATTAATCATCTTGCCAAAGCCCCAAAACATAACCTAATGGATTAATTACAGTACTAGTAGATTTACTATATTAAAATTCAAAGTGAAGCTATTGGAAATATTATGGAAAGATTTTATTGGTATTTATTATGTAATCATACGTGACATTACATATAATTTTTTCTAGTTCATATCGAATGTTCATAAATTCAGCTTGTATTTGTAACTCCATGTATGACTATGATTTCCCTTGTGAAAAAACACATTTTCTGTCAGTGAAATCAATATTCTATTGACTAGTTTAAAGAACTATTTTGAACCAACGTGTCTGAAGCAAATAAAATGCATTCAGACTTTAAATGTATGCTTTTGCTGCTTAAATGAGCACACAAACTATTAACTTGCCATGTTTATAATTCACAATATTATGAGCTTGTACTTCAGAAGCAACCCACACCTTGAGCCCATGATAATGAAAAATGTGTAAATATTTTAGATGTTTTAATAAAAATCGAATGTGTGCTTCCATGCTGTAATTGCTTGTTTTAATTTGATTCACACATTTATAAATTAATGAAACTGAGATAATTAACATTATCTTTTCAAGGTAGTGTACATATTTTTGAAGATAACACTTTACTTTAGATCAGCTTTCTTTATCTACAATTAATTAAGCATATAGAGTCAAAATTACAGTAATTTACTTAAATTGTACATTTAATGCAATTCTCCCTCAAGAAATATCAGATTGAAACAGATGAAACCTACAAAAGACCATGAAGTGTAGTCTAGTCCTTAGTCTAGTATCTTTGAATAGAACGCATCTTAATTGGCAGAAACTAAGAACAAAACATTGTATTATGCCATTTTAAAGTAGGCATTTGTTGGTCTAATTGTTTCAGCCAGTACAGGCTAACGTTTGCAGTCCTGATTTCAGACCTCACTTTACTAGTTCAGGTCTGGGCTATGCTACTGGTCATTAACAAAAGGGATTCACAGAGCAATGGAGCATAATTTGTGATTGGGGTTACATGGGTTTGAGGTAATTTAACAGAGCAGCAGGATCTATAGTCAATATATGGGGTTAAGACAGCAGAAGACAGCATAGAGATACTCCAGAGACCAAGAGAAAGGATTAAGTCAGGGTTTACATTCTTCACAAGAGTATTAGAGAAATCGGCTTTATCTGTCAGCAAGCGGATTTCTCCCTTTAAAAGAGGTTAGCTCACAAGCAAGGCCGTCTAATCCAAAAGCTGGGCTAGATCAGTAAAGTCTCATGGTGAGAGCGCCTTTACACCTATGGGTTTTGAAGTGAAACTCAAAGTTCCGTTCAAGCTAAGAAAAGTATCTCTGTATACCAACTGTTGCTGACTGATGTTTCTTTCTTCTGTCTTTAAAGAAAAGGCTTTCTTGTTCACAAGATGTCTATCTTTCCATTATTCAACACCTTCATTGGCAACCTTTTACCTCAATTAATTAAAAAAATTGGAAATTACTAGTCTCTGATTAAAGTCTCCCTACCCAGTCACACTACCCAGTGGGCTTTCCTTTGGTCTTTTGATATTGATATAGAGAAATTCAATCCAGAATCTGAATCTTTTGAATCCTTTTTAACAAAAACAATAACAAAGCATTGTAATGAGTAACAGTGTCCATCAGCCACCAACCAGCCTAACACAGCGTTCAAGGACGCAATGACTAGACTGAAAAATATGAGGTTCAGATTTCAATACAGAACTGACAATAGGTTTGGCATTTAAATGAACTAATTCAGCCAATAGTACCCCGCAGGCACATCAAAATCAAATACTAATTCCATCAGGAAGCATTTAGAAGAACCAAAATGTACTATTTACGAAGACAATTTTACTGTTTGTCTACAAATATTTATTTCCATATGTTAGCTATTTCCCTATCACAAGGACAATTTAAAAACAATCCAGGCTTCACAGAATGCAAAACAGAGATTAAGTATTAGTGTATTTATTTATTATTGACAATATTTTTATCAACTGATGCAGGATGTATGTGGCAAATGTTGAAATGTGTGTTTATCTGCCAAGAGTGAACCCAGGCTGTGTCACTAAGAGAGAGTTCCTTCCACTTCGTGGTATAAACCATTATTTTCTTTGAAGCACCAGGTTAACAATCACTAGTAGAAACACAGCTGGCTGGGCTGTGACAATGGGTGTCTGGCAGACAACAGAATCCCTTTGATACAGGTTTTGCTTTTTGGAATCAGTCCACCTTGTAAGTGTTTATCAGTAACACCTAATCTGCACATGTGAGCACTGCTCTGAAGTGTAGCAGGCTGTCACTCTATGGCCCAAGTCACAGGGCAGACCGAACAAACACTATTAAAATGCACTTGCTATCTCTCACCAGCCATCACTCCACAACAGGAGCTCCATCCTTTCTGGTTGTATTTTCAACTCAGAGCTGAGATAGCGTTCATGGAAATTTCAGACTGATTAAGCAAATTGGGATAGGCAATGAATCAGGCAGCAATCAAATCATTTTGTGTAACAAAAACAGACTCTTTTGCAGTGCAGCCCTGGATGCATATACAGTACTGTACTAAGTTATGAATTTTGAGCAAGAGCAGACAATATAAAACAAGATGATATATTATGGAAGGACATACAGAGCTGAGTTTAAAATCATTAATATTTTAAAAAACTCTAAAGCAGCCATTTCAAGTAACCAATTAATTGGGTTCACATTTTAATAGATTTAAAGGTTCATTTTTCATTTCTTCTAATGCTTTTCATCCAACCTGATAATGATTATTTTTCTAATAAAACCTAACTATTTTGATGAGGGTGACACACAACAGCTTAAAAAGTGGTTTTATGCATTTGCTGGCAGTAGCATATTGAATCATATTAGCTTGATTACAGCCCAACTGAGTACCACATAAAAATGTAAGGGATCCTTAAGGATGCCTTATAGTGTAAATGTGAGCATAAAACTAAAAAGAAATGTACTTGTATGCTTTGGTACATTGCTGTCAAGGAATTACCTCTTTCTTTTAAATGACCGTGAAGCTTCCCGTTAATTTTGCCCTCCATTCTCTATCCGGTAGGTAGCAAGTTTTCTTCATCCCACGCCTGTCTCTTGGTGGTGGGGTCATGGATTTATGCCTTGATCTTTGCCATAGCACCGCTTGCCAAATGGGGAAATTATGGCCCAGAACCCTACGGCACAGCCTGCTGCATCGACTGGAAAGCACCCAACCGAGAACTGTCCGCCATGACATACATAATTTTCCTCTTCGTTTTCTGCTACGTGGTGCCCTGCACCATCATTTTCACCTCCTACACCTTCATCCTGCTCACCGTTCGGGGCTCCCGGCAGGCTGTGCAGCAGCATGTGTCCCCACAGAACAAGACCAGCACTGCACACAACCTCATCATTAAGGTGAGTATGAGTGGTGTAGTGAGGCGGGTGAGGGAAGTTAAACCCTTTGGGTACATATGAAAATACAATTTAAATCATGTTGCTAATGGTAATGATCAATGCTTAAAATCAGAGATCTACTTGAAGTCATTAACCTGGATCTTTTTTGTTCTCTCTGGTCAGCTCTCCATCGCTGTGTGTATTGGTTTCCTGACAGCCTGGAGCCCATACGCTGTGGTGGCAATGTGGGCTGCCTTTGGCGATGCCCATGTGGTGCCGCCCATGGCCTTTGCCCTCTCTGCGATCTTTGCCAAGTCCTCCACCATCTACAACCCTGTGGTCTATCTGCTGTTCAAACCGAACTTCCGCAAATTTCTGTGTCGGGACGCCGCCCAGTGTCGTCGGCGTCTGTGTACCTGCACATGCAGCTGTGAGGAGAGGCCAGTCCAGAAGGAGGCACAACGTAACAAGGATGTTAGCAATTCTACCCGACTCTCAAACGGGCTGCCAGAGAGCCACCTGGCTTGCCGGCAGTGCCCTGATACAGGAATCCCCACAGGGCAGCTGGTGCTGCACAGGACTGCCCGAGTAATGGCAGGCTCTAGTCACAGTGAGGTGCCCATCAGCCAACTGACCTATAACCTCCAGAAAGAGATCCTCTAATATGTTCTTGTAATGAGGCTGGGATGTCTTTGTTAATCTGAGGAGCCAGGCCATCACCGAACCAGACAAACATATGGACATGGGTCCGTGATACTGCCAAAAAATACCCAGAGCATGGGTGCCACATACCTTTGATCAGACCATTATCCCAGCGAGAAAATGTCATACATGGACTTCATGTTTTGTCTCATATGAAACCATTTGTCTTGGTAAAAGGAGCAAACAAAAGTGCAATTAATATGTCAGGAACTAGAAGAGGTTTAATTATGTTATGATATTTATGACATGTTGAACTGTAATGGTGAAAAGATAGGATCAATTAATTAAAAAAAACTTTTATTGCAATGAACAGCTAAATTAAATTAAATTAATGAATTAAACTAAATATATTAGGTATCTTCTTTTTACAATTGTGAGGCTGTATATTTCAGAAGGAACATGAATCATTAGAGCTGAGTGTCAAAGGATTGAAGATTACAAAACATAGCTGTTTAACATGCAACTATGATTACCGGTTCTGGTAATCCAAATTTCCAAACAAAATCATCCTTGCTTGAAGGCAGAGCAGGAGAAATACCCAGAATTTTGTCTAAACAAATAAAACAGGAAATCCAGGCAGAGAAGACACTGCATGCAAGACAAAAACAAATTTGTTTTTTAATCAAAATGAGTAGAACCATAAATTAATTGAGGAAATCTATGTTAAGGTCGGGACATTTTAAGCAATGTTATTGTGTTCGAGTGTATTAATAAATGCACTCAATAAAGTCTTGGCTATTGCTCAATCTATTTAAAAAATGCAACATTTCTTTCAACGGAAATAATTAAGTCTTTCCATCTGCTGTATGAATAGCAAGTCTATTGGCATAAGCATGCAAATAGCCCTTTATTTTATTGGGAATAAATATAATTGACCCTTAGAAACAGATTCAATTGAAGCAATTGATCGATGTGCTGAAGTCCGTTCAGGATTAAGTAGCTTGATTAATTTGTTCCTATTATGATTGTATTGTAGACTTCAAGGACATACTGTACTGTATGTACTTAAGGTAAGTATAAATGAGCAGGGCTTCCAGTGACTGGGAAAGTAGGTCCAGTAATCAGACAAATACAGTACAGGGTTTTGTCCTAGACCTAAGTCACTGTACCAAGATTAATTTTTCCTTCTGTTATCTCCTAAAAGGCAAGGCAATGCACTTAAATTTGTGTAAATCAGTGTGTCTGCTAAGCAATTATTATCAATTGCACTACTGCAGAATATATTTTCTTAGCACTTTAAATGATATATTTTACAGAGTAGAAAGTATTAGTACTATTTTTAGTTATATTTACCTCATCTTCTTCCTAGGTTTCTTTCAAATGTTGGGGATGAGAATAATTTCTCTTGCACAGTGTGCACCCACATATCTGCTAACATTATTAAGAATCTCTGAATTAATTTCATTTCATACATTTTTCTCATTAAGTCAAATACCTCTTTTGTTACATACCTACTGTATACAGTATACCATATATGTAAGTAAAATAACTCAGGAGTAATTTAAAGAGATACAGATTACAGAGATGCAAGCATTTACAGTAATTCTGCTTCATTTCAATGCATGCAATATACA